TTGTCTAATTCTGAAATTTTATTGTTAATCTTCTGGATTTCTGATTGCTGTCTCTCTGTGGATTCTTGCAGACTGTTAAATTTGTCATTATGCTCTTCTCTAATCTTTTTATGTTCCTCTATTGCATGTTCTGCATTTTGTTTAATTTCCTTCCTGATCTCTTGAAGAGCTCTGTATATTAATCTTTTGTATTCTGCCTCTGGTAATTCCAAGAAATTTTCTCCCTCTGGAAAATTTCTAAATGCTTTATTTTCGGAGCTTGCTGAAGCCATCATGTTCTGCCTGTTTATGTGATTTGATATTGACTGTTGTCTCCGAGGCATCAATAAGTTATTATATTTATTTTTTTTATGTCTGCTTACTGTGTCCTAGCTTCTTGTTTTGTTTTGTTTTGATATGCTCTGATATGCTACTCGTATGAGCTAGCCCAATCACCAGTACCCCTGAAGCTCCAATGTTCTGCCACCAGGTCACCAGACCTGCCACTAATTATGTGAGCCCAATAGTCCACCCACTCCTCCTGTATGAATTCAGCTCTGGTGTCAGGGTAGTCAGCCACCAAGTGCGTGGTGCAGGCTCTCACCGACAGTCCTAGACAGGCATGGGTGATTGCTGTAGGCACAGGCATCTGGCTGCAGTAAGAGGACACATGCTAAGCAAGCAGGGGGCTGATGGCCACCCCCAAGTGTCCCAGAGGAAAGTGTATCCCTATTCCCTAGAGCATGTAGGTGGGTGGGTTTTGCAGCCAGAATATGAGCACCCAGTGCTGTTGGCTGGAGGGCACCTCTTATTCTTGGGCCCCTTTCGCAGGTGACTAAGTGGTGTGGGTGGAGCCACTAGTCCTCAGGCCCCTCATGTGGGTAGGTGAAGACCCTGCTTAATGGGCAGAGCAGTGTCAAATGTCATGAAATAGTTGAAATAGTTGAAGTTAAGACTTCAGGTATATACCTTGTTGTACTGTGGTAATGAGGGCCTACGCTGTTGAAACGGACCCACAGGAGTCTGTGCAGGAGGAAAGGCACTCAACATCTGTGGATCCCTTATGCCTGTGCCTAGGCAAAGCAGCTGTGCTTACCCTTAGTTCCTGGCTTAGGGGAGCTGGCAGATTATTTTTTCCCCCATTTGTTAATTTGTTCCCTCTCCAAGGGCAGGAGAATGGCTTAGGGTGCCTGATGGGTCTTACTTCTGGCCCAGAGGACTTGGCAGTTGCTGAAGCCATCCTGAACCCAGTGCAGAGCAGGGAGCAGGGAGGTAAATGGCAGAGAGGTTTTCCTCTAAGGGGGGTGTTTTGGATCCACGCGGTAGGCCAGATGCAAATACTTATCTTTTGCCAATCGAGGGGTGCTTCTCATTGGTTCTGGATGGCCAAGTAGATTCTGTGCCTCTGGGTCTCTCCTGATGTGGAAAACACCTCCCGAGCACCATTGCTTGCCTCACCGCTCACCCCTGAGCTGATCTGGGCTGAAGGTCTCCAGCTCCCTCTGGGTCAGGTCTGGCAACTCCTCACTGCTTCCAAACTGTCTCTCCCTCCCCCTGTCACTCAGTCTGATTCCTCAACTTTCCATTTGATATTCAGGGCTCCTAGATTGTCATATATAATTGATACACTTGTTTTTTTTCGGGTCTTTGTTGTAAGAGGGACCATTGGAAGCATCTGACTACTCCACCATCTTGGCCCTCCCTCCTGTTTTCTCATGTCTTAAATGCAAATAGCAATACAGTCACGCACTGCATAACGTCCTTGGTCCCATACTAGAGTAAATAAACCAAATCAGTTATTGTCGAGTCGATTCCGACTGTAGCAACCCTATGGAACAGAGTAGAACTCCCCCACAGAGTTTCCAAGGAGCAGTGGTAGATTCGAACTGCATACCTTTTGGTTAGCAGCCCGGCTCTTAACCACTACGCCACCAGAGTAAATTGTTGTTGTATGCCATCAAGTCAGTTCTGACTCATAGCAACCCTATAGGACAGAGTAGTACTGCTCCATTGGGTTTCCAAGGAGTGGCTGATGGATTCAAACTGCCAGCCTTTTGGTTAGCAGCCTGAGCTCTTAACCACTTTGCCACCAGGGCTCTACCAGAGTTGAGGCAGTCAAACGTGTAAAAGCCTGAGAAGTCAGAATGATAGGTGGAGATTCATGTTTTTTTGTTTTTTTGTTTTCAGATACGCACTTTCAAATGCTGCTGAAAGATCTAGCAGTATGAAAAAAAAATCTGTTACATTTTCTGACATAGTGTCCATGCATATCTTGGCACCTGCTATTTTCTAGTCTCTCTTTTATAGTGTAAATTACCCCTGAAAAGGTGAGAGGAGTTGGGATTTAGAGTATAATTGAAGAAACTGGCCTAAGGCAGGAGGAAATTGCATCTGTTTCACTGTAACTAGAGGAAATTTATGCAATTGTTGGTTTCATGGCTTCTATTTACTCTGAGAAGTGGAAGAGGGTTGAAAATGGAACATTTGAGGAGAGTAAAGGTTTGAAATTTCCACTGAGAAATTTGCAGCAGCAAGAGGCAAAGGAGAAGTATTGATTTGAAAGTGAAACATAAGGTTACTAAACAATATGAAGGTGGAAAATAAGGAAATGCTATTGCTCCTAATTTAGGCATGTTTGCACAGTGTCCAAGTCATATTACATCATATTTCACGGAACGTATCTTGGACATTAAGTGACGCATGACTGTACCTACTTTCTCAGGTTGTTTGAGGATTAAAGGAATTAACATATGGAAAGTGCCCAGTGTAGCATCTAGTGTAAAACATGCTCATGAAAAGTTGTTTCCTTTCCCTTTCCTTTCTTCTCAAAAGGAAACTAACTATAGTACAAGGTAAACTGAGAGGTCAAGTAACTTTCCAAGGTCATGTCAGAGTGGGTTTTGAACTCGTTCAGTTGGCTCCAGAGTCTAGACTAGAAACCACTACTTCATAGTGACTCTACAGCAGTGCCTGGGGGTTCATTCATATGGGAGAAGGACAGAAAAAGAAAGTGAGAAAATAAAGAAGTTAAAGGAAAGGGAGATCAAAGTAGAGAGCACCAGAGAGAAAATAAACAATTGCCCTACTAGAGGTACTGCAGTAATAATCTCAGGTACCAACTAGTGCTACCCTTGCTGTAAGCTCCTCACCCTCATAGCAGAAAGCTTAGGTTTTCTGAATTTAGCTTCATTATCCAAGGGAAGATTTAAGGAATAAAGAATCTAAAAACTGTTGTCATAGAAATAATCAGAAACAGCCTACCAGATAGATTGTACAGTACATTGCTTTGAAAAACTAGCAATTTAAAGAAGTGAAATGGACCATGGAAATAATTATTAAATGGGCTGGGTTTGCTATTTAGAAGGAAGAACTCTATAAGTTACTTAAGGTCATTTACGATTAGATCCAGCTTCTGTTTTACTACTCCCTTCCAGGACAATTAAACTAATATATTTCCTGTTCCCAAATCCCACCCCTCTTCCTCACAATGTCCACATCCCCAAATTCTATTTGCAAGACACAGAACTTACCACCAGTTTGCTTTTCCAAATGCACTGTCCACCCCTCTCCAGCCTGTTACCCAGGAGGCTAACCTGTATGGCCCAGGTCAACAGGCTCCCATGTCTTCTAGATTCTGGTTGGATTCAGCCAGTGGGCACCCTGGCAGGCAATCAGAGGGAAAGAGGATTCTAGATCAGAATACCATTTTCCCTGTCCCCTTCCCTGTGAAGCTACCCATCCTGGCTGTCTCCCTTGTCCAAAACTCCTTGCTCCTCATAAAGCAGCTCTCTCTCAGGACTCTCTCATTCTGGGTTTCAAATCCCCCCCTTCCCCATGGTTCTTTGGGCCTAGAGGTGGTAACAGCGCCACTGTTACTAACCCTGGACTATTGCATTATCCCTTGTAGCTCCTGTATACCCCTTCACCCCTTTTAAATAGACCCTTTGTTAAACATCCTTGAATTATTCGAATGTGAGTGTGGCATCTCTTTCCTTTTGAGATTCTGACTGATAACGTTTTTTCCTCTATGAATCTGTCTCTCCTCTGAACTCTTACAAAACTTGATATTATTCCTTTTGAAGGTACTGTTCTTTTGCCCTTTTATGACAATATTTGCATACATGTTTTATATCGTTCTCTTACTGCAATCTCAGTATCTTAAGGATAAGGGCTGGGTTTTATTCATTTGCCATCAGCCTAACAGAATCTGGTCACAGCAGGAAGACTCAGAAAATGTGAAATGAATGGCCAAATGGCAAGAACACCAACAAGAATATTATTTATTGCATCATTTAATTTTCCCTTACATTTGCTGACCTATTACTGTTACTTTATCATTAAAGCTGTAGTTCTTTCACTTTAGGGAGGAAAGTGTACTTCATGTCTGGACCACTAAAACGCAATGTTGGGTCTGACCCATCTGTTGCACTAGAACTCTCATCTCCTCTCTGCTACCCTATGCACTAGTCAAGAATGTATCATTATAGGTATATCTCTATGTGTGCTGCAGGCCTTTCTCTGTAGAGCCGTCTGATGGAACTCTTAACGTGGGAGAGACCATGCAACTGGAAGTGGAATTTGAGCCGCAGACTGTGGGCAATCACAGTGGAAGACTTATCGTGTGTTATGACACAGGTATGCATTATTCTCTGTTAAAAGTTCTGTATGTTAAGAGAGGTCAGAAGGGAAATATGAAGTAAAGCAGGAAATACTTCTTTCGATTGCATTAGAGTAAGCGAAGAACCACAAAGAACCAAAGAATAAATGCCTCCTGTAGAAGTTATGTCAAGCCAGGTATCAATCTGACCTAACTAGTTCCTCCAACTCTTGAAAGACTGGGGAATACAGAGCTCAGGAAGGAACCTATACTCAGAATTCCCACTGGTAGATTGAGGTAATGCGGATATAAATGGAAACTTGAGGGTAACTTAATACCCCATGGGCTTTCCATTTGATTTATTGCTGCAATCGTCTAACATTATCAAATATAAGCCCCTGTTCAGAATGTCCTGTGTGTGCCCACTAGTTTATGTAAGATCCAGTTACTTTAATCCTTAGAACATGCAGATAGCTTACTTCACATCTTACGTAAGTATAGGACTCTGTCTGTTGCCACTAACATTTTCTTAAAGGCCACATATTGCATAGTCAGGAAAATTACACATTGTTTTTGCAAATGTTTAGTTCGTGTTCATGTAGGCTACATGTACATTATGCAAGTCTCCAAAGTTGGTTTTCAAATTAATATTTTACCGTTGCCATTTATTATTTCATGATATTTCTCATTTCATTCTCACTTCCTTTTTACCCATTCATCATGATTGACCCAGATTCTCTTCATTAGAAGGGCATGGTAGGAAAAGAGCAACAAATGATATCCAGGTCACGGTTTAGAGTCACTGGCTTTGTGGATGCATATCTGAGCAGCACATTTCAAGCCCTTGCTGTGAGACCTGTGGTCAAGTGGTCCTGACTCCCAACATAACAACAACCCATAACCAGTGGCACAAATCTATACGTCTTATTCCTAGTGTTAGACATAACTCACTGGTTGCTAGCAAGAGAAACCTCATTTAAACTAGATTAAGCAAAATGGGGAACTTTTTGGCCCATGTAGCCACACTCTATTATTCAACTATTTACTGTATTATTACTCTACTATGCATTCCCACAAGATTTTATGTGTTGCCTTTTCATTAACACTTGATTCAAAATGTCTTAGAATTTCCTTTTTTTTTTCTTCTTTGACCCAGTAACAGTGTTACTTAATATTCAAACATTTGGGAATATTCTAGTTAGCTTTTTGTTATTGGCTTCTGGTTTAATTTTACAAGTGACAGAAAACAAATTCTATATGATTTCCGGCTTTGAAATTAGCTGAAACTTACTTTATAGCCCAGAGTATGTTCCAGTTTGGTAAGTGCACCTGAAAAGGGTACAAGTTCCACAAATATCAGTTAAGTCAAGTTTGTTAATAATCATGTTATTCAATCTGTATCTCTGCTAATTTTTTGTCTTCTTGTTTTATCATTTATTAAGAGATGATGCTAAAATCTACAATTATGATTGTTGATTTGGTGTTTCTCTTTATGGTGCTATCCTATTTTTGTTTTATATATTTTGAGGCTATGATATTTGCATATACATTTAGGATTATTATAACTTCCTGTTGAAGTAACCATTTTATCATTATGAATTGTCCCTTTTTATCTCTAGTAAGATTTCTGACATTAAAGTATACTTGGTCTGATATTTGTATAGTACAGTAGCTTTCTTTTGATTAGTGTGTGCATAGTATATCCCATCCATTCCTTTACTTTCAACTTTTCTGTGACCTCATGTTTGAAGTGTGACATTTATGTGTCACCTGGTTGTTATTTTCTTAAATCCAGTCTGAAAATCTTTGTCTTTCAGTTTTACTATTCAGTCATTTTATATTGAATGCTGTTACTGATATATTTGGTTTAAATCTTTTGTCTGTTAAGTAATTGTTTCCCGTTACAGGGAAATTCTTACCTCAATTTCGACAAAAACATTTGTATTATTAATGTTAATAGTGGATGGAATTGAAAAAAAATGAGTCTTTGTAAACGCAGTTATACATTTCTTTTATCTAGAGCTCCATATCTGGATAATCTGAGTTATCATTTTTGTTTATGTCACCATCCAAAACTAAGTATTGAAAGAATATGTGGCCTTAGAATTACCTTTGAATCACTATAAAAAAGAATGAAGCATAGTCATTCCTTTTGCTCTCACCAAAATAATTGTTGGTAAATATATTAAATTATCTTTAAAATATTATTTATTTCATCTTTATCTCATCTTTTTTAGTATTTTAGGTATATTTTAATACATTTTATGTTAGTATTCTTGTAAATGTGAATAATTTACAAATCAACAAATTAAATATTTTGGGGGTATAATGTTACAAATTTTATTTGATTGGATTTGAATCAAAAAACTTTTGAGACCAACTGGCTTAGATTGTTTATAGATTGATGGAACTAAAACTTGAGGGAAGATTTCAGTGATCATCTAATCTAGTCATTAGATTTTACAGATAAAACACTGAAGCCCTAAGAAATAAAGTTGTTTGCCCAAGGTCACATAACTAGTCGGAAGCACAATTAAAACCCAGACTCTGACTCTCTTAACTGCTGCATAATGCCTTTTCCACCGTAGTGGACTGTCTCCCTCATCTCTCATATTACCACATAAGCATTTTTACTCCTTTAATCTGTTGACTTTGAAACGATGCTGCATTCTCCCAAAGGCCCTCGCTCTTAATTTTACTTTTATATAAGTATGTGGAATGACATTCATCCTTTCCTGTGGGAAAGGAAAGGTAGGTTGAACCACAGTGAATATTTGCTTATTAAAATTGAATCATGCATGGAAAAGTTGGTTTCCACACCCTGAGGTTTTAGTGGCAACCTTGGTGCATGAATGCAGTCATTTTCTGAAGATTGCAGACAGAGGTAAAATGTCTTGTAGCATTTTGCCTTATATAAAATGAACTGCTAGTAAGAATATGCTTTCATCTTTATTGTGGGTTATCAATGCCCAGATCCTATAACCTTCCATTAGTGGAAAACAGTAATGACTCCCTAGCAATTAATTATGGAGGTTTTCCCAAGCAGCCATGATCATTGGCTTCTCATTTCACTAAATAAGCATCTGATTAAACTTTCTGCAGCTGTTTGAAGTATGAATTGATTTGAGGAGAGAAGTTCTATCATGGGCTGTTGATGAAAGTCTTTTCAAACTTCCCCAGAACCATGTTCCAGAAGGAGAAGCATTGATATTCCTCAGCAGGAAGTACTCAGTCACATTTCTAGCAGTTATGTTTGTGTCCTTCAGTCTTTGGTCCTCCACTGGATATATTCTTGATTAAATGCAGCTAAACAAACAAACAAAAAAAAACCCTTCATTGCTATCAAGTCGATTCCAACTCATAGCAACCCTATAAGACAGAGTAGAACTGCCCCGTAGGATTTCCAGGGGGCGGCTGGTGGATTTGAATTGCCAGCCCTTTCGTTAAGAGCTATGGCTGTTAACAGCTCTTAACCACTGCGCTGCCAGGGCTCCACGAAATGCAGCTAGGAGGAGACATTGTGTTTTTCTGACAACTGATTTTGAACCAGTGTTCTAACAATTAAAGAGGTCAAGTATAAAACAATAGCAATATCATAATTTACTAACATTTTCTGGACCCAGAATTTTCTCTCCTTCCCTCCTCCTTCTCCCTGTGGGTTTCCTTGTGTAGTGAAATCAAATTTGGTTAGGCAATTAAAAGAAGTGGAGTAACTTGATACGTTTTATGAACTAATCTCTGCAGAAGAAGTTAAGAACACAGTTGTTTAAAGCTACGTTCATAACAACAAAACAAAAATAGCAACCAGTAAACTAGTTCTATCGTTTCAATAAAACTGAGAAGTATTGAAATGATTATTTATCTATTAAGAGACAAATAGTTAATTGCTTACATTTGCACTTTACAAGATATTGAAAAACTGTATATAATCTAAGAGTTCAAGGGGCTATTAGTATTCAGAACACACTTTAAAAAAAAGTCTTTTTGAGCCTTTCAGTACTTGAATGAGCACTAGAAGTCGGAGCACAACAGAGTTTTCTTTAATGCCTGGTGAAGTTGCTGTCACCTTACAGGTGAAATTAACCACTAGCATAATCAGGAAATAGAGCTGATGTACTTATTCAGCTTTTTAAAAGTATTATGTTCCATACTGAAGAGATATTTCAGTGCAGGAGTTAGAAGTTGGCAAGTAGACTTTTTTCCCCAAAGGTGTGATGTACTACTACTGAATATATTAGCAGCCATACTATTAGTACTTTATAGGACAGCTTTACAGTCATTTATATATTTGACTGTAGTAAGTTTTCTACAATTCTCAAGAAATTCATGTTTTTCTCCTAAAGGCCAATAAAGGAATACCAAAGTATAACATAGTAAGGAATTTGGTGTGATATATTTTTCAAGTGACATTATTAGGTAATACCTATCTGAATATACCTATACAAACTTAATATGAACTTTGTTTCAACTGTGTGATGATAATAGTTATAAACATGTGCCATTATAATTAGATAATCTAACAAAACATTTTTATTGTAAAAAATATAAATTAAAAAAATTGTGGTAAGTATATATTTAATAAAACATTTGCCATTTCAACATTTTTAATATATTCTCTTCAGTGACATTAATTACATTCATGTACCACCAGTGGTTAAGCACTCAGCTGCTAACCAAAAGATTGGCGGTTTGAACCTACCAGCTGCTCCATGGGAGAAAGATGTGGCAGTCTGCTTTCCTAAAGGTTACAGCCTTGGAAACCCTGTAGGGCAGTTCTACTTTGTCCTGTAGGATCGCTATGAGTCAGAATTGAGTTGATAGCAACGAGTTTTTTGGTTTTAATTACATTCATCGTGTTATACTACCATCACCACTGTCCATTTCCAGTTTTTTCCATCATTCTTAACAGAAGCTCAGGGCTTTAAAGGCAATGGAATCATTCCTTCATCTTTTTCTTTTTTTTTTCCTCTTGGTTTTTGTATTTTGTGGTTTAGGAAAGAGAGTTACAGAAATTATGACTCACTGATTGTTAGGGATTGTTTAGAGAAATGGAATGAGGCTTCTGTAAAGTACATAGCAAATGAAGACTATCAAATCATTCCATATATCCCCTATGTGTCAGAGTAGAACTGTGCTCCATAGGTTTTTCAGTGGCTGATATTTTGGAAGTAGCTTGCCAAGCCTTTCTTCCATGGCACCTCTGGGTGGACTTGAGTGGCCTAACTTTTGTAGCAGCCTAGCACATTAACCATTTGCAGCAGCCAGGGACTCCCTCAAATCATTAGGTGTTTTAGTTTTTAAAGGGACGTTAAAACAAACAAAAAACACCAAACCCATTGCCATTGAGTCGATTCTGACTCATAGCAACCGTATAGGATAGAGTAGAACTGCCCATATGGTTTCCAAAGAGCTGCTGGTGGATTTGAACTGCCAACCTTTTGGATAGCAGCCGAACACTTAACCACTGTGCCACCAGGGCTCCAGAGAAACATTAGAGGACATCTGTTTAACTGCCTTCATTTTAGAGTAAACTGAGGCTCAGAGATGTTAAATGGCTTTACACCTAAGTGGTAGAGCCAGAATTTGAACCCGGGCCTTTGGGACCCTCTGAGGCCAGGGTACAATTCAACACTGCCTTCTGTGTGGATTAAGAATTCTGATTTTGGCATTGCCACTGGTGTGCTGGCTAAGCTTAGTTAAGTTGCTTAATTTTAGTTTCCCGAACTCTTCAGAGTACTCAAAGAAATTTGGTTCAGCGATTCACTAGAGTGGTAAATTTGACCTGCTGTGACCAAGAGATGAGAAACTCACTTTCCATCAACTTGTTAGTTCCCTAGAGAATCTATGGCTCCACTCATATATTTTATTTAGTGTCCTCCTCTATCGTCTGAAAGTACTGAAACCACAGTATGAAATGTATTGTGTATAGCTAGTTAGTTAGTTAGTTAATTAGCTTTGTTCGTATATGTTTTTGCTTGATCGATAGTAGCAAAATTGGCAAGAGGAAATGAAACCTTCTACAAAATTTATCTTTACTGGGACATAATAAATGACTGTGGCTAACCCCATTTACAATGATTGCAACACTCAACCCCAGAAACTGAGACGGGAACAGGCACTCCAACAGCATAGAAAACACTAAAGCTGAGCACAGCATCCTTACCCATTCCTGCAAGCATAACACCCCTTTCATCCAATCTTCTAAGTAGCTAGGATCAGGGTGCCCTTTTTAAGATTGTCTTCATGACATACCAGTGTGTGTAAAAACACCAGGGAACTACTTCAGCAGCTGTGATGGCAAAAGAAAAGTTATTGCTTCCTTCACTTTGTGGATCTGGAGATTTTGGGAAGATAGAAATGAAAAAAAAAAAAAAATCAATACTAGATAGTTCTTGAAAGGATGATTCTAGTGGTTCTGTTGCTATATTTCTGGGGAGGAAGACTTTGTAGCAAGCTCCTCATAGAGATGATGCTAGTCTTTCTGACCCCTAGATTTGTATAAAATTATCCCTTAGATCTTTTTCCTTAGTTATTTTTTTAAAATAATATTTTATTGTGTTTTCGGTGAAGGTTTACACAGAAGTTTAAGTTCCCGTTCACAGTTTCTACACAAGTTGTTCGGTGACATTGATTACATTCTTCACAATGTGTGAACGTGCTCGTTATTTCCATCTGATTGTTCCATTTCCATTAATCTAGTTCCCTGCCCCTTATATTCTCATCTTTATTTTCAAGTAATTGTTGACCATTCAGGAACCCTGTTGGTGCAGTGGTTAAAGCGCTCTGCTGCTAACCGAAAGGTCGGAGGTTTGAACCCACCAGCTGCTCTGCAGGAGAAAGATGTGGCAGTCTGCTTCCATAAAGATTTACAGCCTTGGAAACCCTATGAGGCAGTTGTACTCTGTCCTATAAGGTCACTGTGAATTGGAATCGACTCGGTTTTGGTTTTGGGTTGACCAGTTGGTCTTATATAGGTGATTTTTTTAAAGGAGCATAGTATTTATGGGTGTCCTTGGTTAATTTTTTAAATGATGAAATATTTCAAATAACCACAAAATCACAGAGAATAATAAATAGGCATTATATTTAACACATCTCAACATTTTGCCATACACTTTTCCTTCAGATGTTTTATTGTTCAGGTAATTAAACTGGTTATAGATTTGAAACCACCTTGTTAATCTTTCCGACTCCATTTCCCATGTTCTGTTCCTCAGAAGTGAACTGGGTATGGTTTTATGCTATTTTTACATATTTACTTATCCATAAACAATATATAGTATTGTCTCAAGTGGTTTTAAATTTCACATATATGGTATCATACTATACATATCATTTTCCAACTTGCTTTTTTTATTCAGTGTCTTAAGATTTAAGCGTGTAGATGCACATAGCTCTAATTCATTTTAACTAATGCATCACATTCCAATATGTAAAAATATTACAGTTTTTCTGTTCTCCTGTTGAGTATTTAGGCTGTTCCTAGTTCTTTGCTATTATCAATAGTGCTTCAATGAGCATCTATGTACATGTCTTCTTGTACAAATATGTGAGACTTGCCTTTAGGATAGATACCTAGAAGTGCAATTTGCTGGGTAGTAGGAAAAATGTATCTTGAGATTGGTTGTTGTTGTATTGTTAGTTGCCACCAAGTTGATCCCAACTCATGGCAACCCCATGTGCGCAGAGTAGAACTGTTCCATAGGATTTTCAAGGCTGTGACCTTTTGAAAGCAGAGCTCCAGGCCTGTCTTCTGAGGTGCCTCTGGGTAGGTTCCAACTGCCAACCTTTTGGCTAGTAGTTGAGTGCTTAACAGTTGAGATTTACTGGATACTAAGTAGTTTTGATTCTCTATAACCACACCAAGCATAATATTTAAGTTTTCTGGTTATTTCTGATCCCTGGATTGATGGGGGGAAAAAGGATGAAATGTCTAATGTTTGTGTTATATTCCCTAACTTCAGTTTAGGGAGGGGGAAAGCCTAGAAATGTGATTCTAGAATAAATCTTAAAATGTATGCTTTGTTAATTCCTAGGTGAAAAAGTGTTTATGTCTTTGTATGGCGCTGCCATCGACATGAATATAAGGCTGGACAAGAATTCCTTGTTCATCGAGAAAACCTACATATCTTTGGCCAACCAGCGAACTATAACCATTCACAATCGCAGTAATATCATCGCCCATTTCCAGTGGAAGATATTTGCTAACCAGGATGAGGAGGATAGAGAAAAGAATAGGTTTGTAAGAAAAATCACCTATATGCTGTGATGTTGGGAAATGTAAAACTCAATTATTATGAAAAACCATTGACTTTTTTAATAAGTTTCTAAGCAACTCAAACAATGTCACATTTTCATAACTGGGTTCCAGTTAGTGCCTGATGCCCCCTTGGAGCTGTTCTTCTAAAGTCCCCAAGCTGAGCTATGTGGAACCATCTTCAGCTAACCTTAACCTTGTCATAACTTATCAGTAGCTAAACTCCTATACTTTAAAGACCCGATATGTTCATGCTTCATTATTCTTCCGAAAATAATCTATGCATCTGTATTTCCTTTCAGAATCTTAACCCTGTTGATCAGGTTTAATAAAGAGTTTTTAAAAATAACATCTTTTGGATTGAGACCAATGTGGAGTTTGTTTTTCAGTGAAAAAATATTTCCAGAAAATATGAAGAATGAAGAAAAAAAAAGGCTTAGATATAACGGCCTTTATATTCTCAGTTTTAGTAGCATTGCTCCGTCCCTGCACACCACATAATTTAATAATGATTTTTTGTTGGTATCTTTAATCTCCTGCTTTTCAAAGCGATACTTCAGGCAGTGGAGAAGATTTGTAAAATGTAGAACCAAAATGTTTTAACTAATCTCATCACTGTTAAATTTTGAATATTTCTTTTTACTAAATCCGTCCTTGCCTCCAATTTCATTTTTATCTCCTTCCAACCTCTTTGAATTAGCATTTTTGCTGCTTTCATTGGAATTTCTTTCAGGTTTTTCCCCCCTTTTCCATTTTCATTAAAGATTGGCACTGTGAAGCTTCGAAGCTTTGTTTAAAACCAAGTTAGTAAGTGATAAAAATAAAAGCTTGTAGGTCCGTGGAAACCAGGCAGAAATCTCTTAGGGTGCTGCCCTAATTGAATCAGAGGGAGCTGTGACAATGACAGGACACAGCGGACCAAGAAGCCTTGTCATTCAGACAATGAGCTTTAATCACTGGATTGCCACTGTGCTATCTTTAAAAAGTGAGAAAAGAAAAGTCTTTCCTGTCTAAAAACTTCATTTTGCCCTATGGTATTAAAATACCAGTGGTTTAAAAAGGCAAGAGAAAACAGCTCATCCTCTGCTTGATTTGTCCTGATTTCCCAATTAACATGCACTTACCAGCCATCAGCACAGCCTAGACATGTTTAAAGATAGCGTGGAAGCAGGTACAAATAAAGAGGAATAGCAGTAAAAGTAGTATTTTGATATCATATCTGCCCTGTGGGCATAATGTTTTGGGGAGAACAATACACGTTTGATAAGAGGGAACCTGGAAAATTCTGTACTGCTTCAATATGAAAACTGATTAACATTTAATTTAAAAAATAACTTTTCTATTTATAAATTCTATGTATTATTTTGACTATCCATTGACTATGTTTTATTTGCTATTAATACATATTCAGTGAGTGTTGTTGTTAGGTGCCGTCAAGTCAGTTCCAACTCATAGCGACCCTATGTACAACAGAACGAAACAATGCCTAGTCTTGTGGCATCCTCACAGACATTGCTATGTTTGAGCCCTTTGTTGCAGCCACAGTGTCAATCCATCTTGTCGAGGGTCTTCCTCTTTTTTCTGACCCTCTACTTTAGCAAGCATGATGTCCTTCTCCAGGGACTGGTCCCTCCTGGTAACATGTCCCAAGTACGTGAGATGAAGTCTTGCCATCCTTGCTTCTAAGGATTATTCTGGCTCCTTAGAATTTAAAAAATAAAGACAAGTACAAAGATGAAGATATAAATATATTATAATCTTACAACCTAGAGAAAACTACTCTTTAGATTTTGGTATATCTAAATCTGCTCTTTTTCCCAATAAGTATGTTTTCTTTCTTTTTTTACCTTTTTATTACAAAATTGGGATTACTCTATATATTCCATTTTGTAACCTGCTTTCTCACCTTAAAATGTTTAAGACATCTGAAAATTCTACTAAACATTCTTCTCTAATGCCATTTTAGTAGCTGCTTAGTATTCTATTGATACAGATGCATCACAGGAGGCAGTGTAGCATACTGGCTAACACCAGAGGATTCGGATTACAAAAAAAAAACCTAATTTGAAGTCTAGGCTCCATTTAAGGGGCACTGATGGCACAGTGGTTAAGCACTCAGCTGCTAACCGAAAGGTCAGCAGTTTGAACCTAACCAGCTGCGCTCCGTGATAGAAAAGACCTGGCAATCTGCTTCCGTAAAGACTATAGCCTAGGAAATCCTATGGGACAGTTCTACTCTGTCCCGTAGGATTTCTATGAGTCGGAATCAACTCCATGGCACACAGCAACAACAACAGGCTCCATCTATTAGCTGTGTGGGCTTGTACAAGTTACTTAACCATTCTGAGCCTCAGTTTCATCATCTGTAAAATAGAAATGATGATGATAATAATAGTAATTAACCTCATATTGAGTTGTTATGAGCATTAAATTATGTGATGCATATGAAACGTTTAGCAAGTACTCTATAAATGTTAATGTTTATGATTCCCATTATTTGTTTAGCCAATCCCTCATTATCTTACATCAAATTTCCCCACATTTTTGTTTGCTATTATTGCCGGCACTTAGATGAACATCTTTGTAGCTGTGTGTTTGTTTATATCCATGATTGTTTCTTTAAAATTTAGTCCTAGAAGTGGAATTTATTGTTTCAAAGAGTATGCAACGTATTAGTCTTCCAGGTATGTATCAAATAACAAAATAAAAAAAAAATGGTTTCCTTTCTTTGAAAAAAAGGAAGACTAAGCTGTCTTTAATTTGCCCTGCTCTGCCTAGCAGTATAGAGGGACTGTTCCTCTGGTTACCTTGGACACTGCTTCCTACCTAGCAATCAAAATGCTTTCTTCATTGGAACCAGAACATACTGAAACTATTTCTTCAATTTCTTTATGCTAGGTGACCAAAGGACCCTGGGTAGTGAAATTAATTTAAAAAAAAAAAAGTGTTATTTGGCAGTACTGAGCATGTAGTTTGCATGAAATCATTTAAAAAAAAGTTGGAGCTGGGACAGGAATTCAGTGACTCTGAACTCCTACCAACATTCACATTGTTAAATAATTTGTCTCTCACTACCTGGTAATACCAGTAAAATGTTGGGAGAATGATCAAATGTGTCCTAGAAGGAGACAAAAGTCAGTCTGCAAAGTTCAGGTGAAGTAATTGATGCCAGGAGTAATATGAACACACCTTCGGTGAGGGTAATAGTTGGGGGACTGGGGAGAGCTGTTTCTAACTTATCATGATACATTATTAGATGCTAGAGAGAGGGAGAAAAGGAGATGTCTTTAGGTGCAGTTTGAGCATTTTATAAGCTTGACAGTTCGGTAATTGCTTATGATTGACACAGGGAGAAAACTGGTATTTACTGGACAGCTGCTATGTCTCAGGAACTGCACCAGGTCCTTTATCACATTTAATTCTCAAAACATCTTTATGATGGAGGGACTCCTATTATTTCTACTTTATAGGTGAAGACATTGAGGCTTAGAGGAATTGGATAACTCCCAAAGTCACAGAGCTAGTAAATAAATAGTAAAACCAGTTTCCAAACCTAGTCCTTGCTAGCTCCAGCTTCTATTCTCTAGGAAGCTAACAGCTGAGAAAGAATTAAGCCTAAGCAAGTTTAAAAGGTATAAAATCATTCTTGAGAGTGTGAGAGGTAGGGTAGAAGTTAAGTATTTAAAAATCACCCTAGAAAACACAGTTACCTAAAAGAAAATATTTGTCCAGATAAACATAAGAGCCCAGGAGTAAGCAAATGGGCATTGAGTGGGAAGGGAAGCTAGGGAGGACTTCCTAAAGGAAATGACTAAAAATGAGGAAACTGAGACTCTGAGAGGTAAAAGCACAAGGTTGCCCAGCTAGGATGTTACAGACTCAGAGCAAGGAGGGACTATTCCAGGGTGATAGGTGAGGACGTTTCCAGGAGGATGAACTAGAAGGCAACCCTTTACAAGTTTATCATGGGAGTACCAAAATGAATCTCACAATGTCTGTATTTTCTTTAGGGTCTGTGAGGATCTGATCAAAGAAGAAAAGAATAAGACTGACGAGTTTCTCGAAGAGTGCATTGTTGATCCATCACTCCGAGAACGTCTTTCCATTCTCTCCCGCACCTTTGAGAATCAGAGAAGGCTGGTTCAGGGAGACAACATGCTCTTCTTGAATAACATTTTCACTGTCGAGCCCCTGGTAAGTACATGTATAAAATCTGACCCTATACTAAACATAAGTAGGAGTGCAGGACATGTTTCAATGGGAGGATTCAATGGAGTGAGTACTCAACTCGTGATTTCTAAAAGCCTGAAGAGTCTATCTGAAGAGCCTCATCATCATTATGAATGAATGAAGGTTATTGAGAATAATGCTCACAGGTCACATTTATAGAGCATTTTCTATGTGCCAGTCACTGTGTTAAGTGAGAAATTTGATAACTTACTCAAGGTCAGTAGTGAGAAATTCATCCCTCTAGAACAGAGTTTCTCAGCCTTGACACTATTGACATTTGGGACTGAATGATTCTTTGTTATGGAACCGACCTGTACATTGTAGGACCTTTAGTAGCATCCCTGACCCCTACCCACTAGATGCTAGTTGTGACAACCAAAAATTTCTCCAGACATTGCCAAATATCCCCTGGCAGGCAAAATTACCTGGATTGAGAACTGCTCAGTCCTTAATTCACTCATGAATACCTATTGTCTGCATGTTCTGTACCGGATACTGTGTGTATACCAGGTACTGATGAACAAAACAGACATAGTCCTTGCCCTCATAGGCTAGCTAGTGAGAGCTGAGCCAGAATTAGAACAGGGTCTGTTTGATTCTACATACCAAATTCTTAATCACTCTCCCGTAATGCCTTAAAATAAAAGTAGCTAGCATCTTCTGTATTTACTATGTGCTAGGCATTGTGGTAAAAACTCTGTGTGCATTACCTCATACTTAGCAGGCATAGAATGATGTGAGATTAAAAACTGATGGGAGTTGAGAAAGCCTACAGCTAGTTAGAGCTTCTGGATTGTTACCTTTCAAACCACTTGGAGAGAAGACATGGGCACAGGGACACATTCAAACACAAGGTCACTTGTGGGAAGTGCCACTGAATTGTGTAGACCCATTTTCCTTACATCTGCTCTTCCAAATTGTTATTAAGTGGTATAACATGGAAAAGAGGTTCTATGGCTAAATGGGTTTGAGAAACACTGGATTAAATATTGTTTGAAAGGTTTCTTTATTATAAGATTTGTAAAAGTCTTTAATATGCTAATATGCATTGTTAATCTCCAAGAGAGAGCTTTCCCCAAACTTATTTGTCATGGAATCCTTTTATCCCTGAACATTCTCTGTAACTAGTGTTTTGTGGGACCCGCTGTGTGAAATGCTGGTGAAGACAGTAAATACAGTAGTTCAGAGGCTTACGTGATTATCATAGACAAGACTTTTTAGGGAAGGCTTCTTGAGAAGAGAGCCTTGAACTGGGCTTTGCAGGATAGGACTTTTGAAGAACAAAATTGGGGATGTGCATGCCATGGCTCATCCTTGGTTTTGTGAGTGGGCCAGTTTGCTTTAAGTAAAGTGCTCAAGGTAGAGTTGTAGGTTGAGGCCAACTCTTTGTCAGAAGAGAAGACTGACAGTTAAGCAAAGTGATCTTCAGATATGATGGATTAGACCAGCAAGAGTTTAAAACGGTGAACATACAGTCTTGGAAGGATAGGGCATGTTCTAAAAGTAAAAGTAGATCAATTCCAGAGATGCTCAAAAGGGAATTATGGATCTATGCAGACAAGTGGCTGAGTCCAGTGAGCTGGGCTGAGTCAGGGAAGAACAGTCAGACATGGTAATCTTAGATGTACCTACCAGCAAGGTCCACAGTGTAGGCAGTTCAAGACTCTTCCCAGATGGCTGTGGAACTCCAGGTTGTTGATTGCTGTTTCTGTTCCTCATTGCCTTCTGGGAGTGGATGGCTCTCAGATCACTGACATGGTGGACAGGAGGAGGTGAGAAGCCCACAGGTGAGTCCTGAGCATTTCTAACAGAAGTAAAAAGATTAGCGTTACCTCAGATTTTCTTCTCCTCATGCTCTCTTCCATAACCTAGTTTATTTCCAGAGCTTCATGATGGAAATATATGTGTGTTAAAATATGACATTTAATATGATTGGTTTTGGAGTCTAGATAGAAACTGAATTGAATATTCTCATCATAAGGCATCTTTCAACCATTAGGGGAAAAATTTTTTAAAATAGTATACATGGAAATGGTATTTTTTAATTAAATTGGCTAATTTTGTTTATATTGTGTAAAAAAAAAAAATTGCCAGAAACAGAATAGTCCTCCACTAAGAAGTCTTTGACCCACTTAAAATATCAGTAGTCATTATGGAATCTGTAATGATTTTGTCTTTTCTGTATGCTGTTCAGTTTTTCTTCTCATAATAGCATTCATTAGCTGGATCTGACAATTTTTCTAAGATAAAAATGAAGATGTGATGAAAACGAAGGCATGAAACTTTCCTAGTATCTCCGTAAGGCTATTCTGGTCAAAACAGCAGAGCTCAGTGTCAGCTACTGTGAATTATTTATTTATGTTAAAAACTTTCTTTTTCCCTACTTAAAGATCCTGATAGTTTTATACAACTACAGCTCCTGAACATGAGTGTAATATAATCTTACCTTGTAAATTACTTTTGAAGGTATTTGATGGGAAAATTCTGCCATTTACTTGCATCTTAACTCAAATGTGAACTGTGGGTGTTTTCCACAGTTGAGATTTTGGGTTTCTGATATAGGTAAATAAGTGCTACAGGAGTTCCTGATGAAAGGATGGGAAAAGCTTTATAGAAGAGATGAGATCTGTACTGAATCTTGGAGGAAGGGTAAGATTTAATTAAGTGGAAAGGGAAGAGGAGAATGTTTCCAACTGGGGAAATTATGAAAACAAAGGAAAGAGAAACTGTTAGGTTCAGGACATATTAAGTAACAATGAGTATATTGTTGGACATATTAAGTAACAATGAGTATATTGTTACTTAATATTTAACAATTCTCAGTTTTTCTGAAGCAGAGGTTAAGCAAAAAAGAAGAAATGAGGCCAAGAAAGAGAGTAGAGGAAATCTGGTTTGCCATGCTAGCATGTAGTGCTTTAGCCTACAGACTATTGTCTCCTACCGTGCGATGCTGGAAACACTGGATGGTAATGTGTGTCCCTTGCAAAAAAATAGTTTTACAGTCAAATAAGTTTGGGAAATACTGTTTCAAAAGATTGATTCTCCAAGTGGTAGAGTGCAAGCAGCGTTCCCCACAAACCCCTCTTCCCGCAGAGTGTAAACCAAACTCGGTGTTCTGTAGATCATAGTTTGGTAAATGGTGCTGAGGGTATCAGAGACTCACTGCAGGGTTTGGAGCAGGAGCACGATGTGCTTAGGGTGTTTTAGAAAGATTATGCTGGTAACCATGTATGGGTTAAATTGGAAAAGGGTGGACAGCAGTTCAGATGGGTGGTTCAAGTAAGCAGGGGATATATACTAGTGCAGGAAGGATCAGGGAGACTGGACATCTCTGCAGGTAAGTTCAGAGTGATGTGTGAGGATGATGAGGACCTGGAACAGCTCAACAATGACTAGAAAGCAAAGGCAGATATGAGAAACCTTCAAAAGGAAGACACTAACATGCTTTTTGAATGGCTGTTGAAGGTGAAACAGCATGAGGAATCATGTGTCTCCTCAGATCTGTACTGGCATGCTTGAGAGAATTATGTTGTCTTTGAAAGAAATTAGCAAAGCCAGAAGTCCTGGTTTAAGTCCTAGCTTTGCCAATAGTAAATGTGATCTTAAAAAAGCCATTTGATCTCCCTTGGCCTCAGTTGCCTTGCACACAAAACGAACGTACTGGAGTAGATCATTTTGATCCTTCCAACTCATAAGTTCTGATTCTCCAATTGGGATGAAACTCTGAGCTCCTTAAGGTCAAGGAGCGCCTCATCCTCATCTTGTGCCCAATGCCTAGCACAGTGGCAGTAAAC